TCTCTTTGTGGTCAATTTCGGTGTCTCCAAATCAGATTGACCTTGCTCCTCATGGAAACAGAAGACTCTGGCTTTTCTTTTGGGAGCCACCAGCTTTTTGAAGGTGGCAAGGTATGTCTAATCCTTCCTGCAGTCTAAAAAAGGTGGGGCTGGGCACAGTGGCTCATGTCTGTAATCCCAGCACTTTGGGAGGCCGAGATGGGGGGATCACAAGGTCAGGAGTTCAAGACCAGCCTGGCTAAGATAGTGAAAGCCTGTCTCTACTAAAACTATAAAAATTAGCCAGGCGTGGTGGTGGGTGCCTGTAATCCAAGCTACTCAGGAGGCTGAGGCAGAGAATTGCTCGAACCTGGGAGGCAGAGGTTGCAGTGAGCTAAAATCACTCCCTGCATTCCAGCCTGGGTGACAGAGTGAGACTCTGTCCAAAAAAAAAAGGTGGCTCGCAGTCTTATTTGCTAAGCAGAGCGTGGTCTGAATATACACGTCTGGAAAAGTAAGAGTGGGGGCAGGACCCCAGATGGAGAAGCAGGAACTGGAGCTGAAGGCAGTTAGAAGCCAGCAGGAACAAGGAGAGCTGAGAAGCCCTACGCCGTTAAGTGGGGATATTTCCACGTCGCTGTAACTGAAGCTCCCTCTTCATCTCTGCTACAAAACCCATGCTGCCTCCAGAGCCTAGGAAAAGCAGAGCGCTGCTCACGTGGGCACAGGGATGAAAAGAAACACTCCGCAGAGTGGGCACCTCAAGTTATACTAAACCTGCACTGTCATCTGTGTGGATTAGACCAAGGCTCAGGCTTACTCTATCTCCTACAAGGAGCCCTGCAGGCCCAGGTGACTCAGGTGTCATTTTAAGAGCCCTCTTAGATTTCTCTTGGGAAGAAAGTTCTGAAGGAAGCACGGAGGAAGATTCAACCCACTTTCACTTCATTCGAGTTGAAGAATTCATGAATCTTTCCAGCTTCATCCTCCTTAATGTCTACAACTTAGTGCCTTTCAGAGCTGAAGGAGTATCACAGTGTCTATTCCACTGATTTTCAAATTGCTCCAAGCAGATCTATTTTATACGCTGGGCCTCTGCAGAGCAAGGTTTCCTCTAAAGGAGAGTACCCCTAGGCCAGGCACAGTGGCTCATGCCTGTAGTTCCCGCTTTGGGAGGCTCAGGTGGGTGATCCTCAGGATCACCTGCAGTCAGGAGTTTGAGACGAGCTTGGCCAACGTGTTGAAACCCCAACTCTACTAAAAATATAAAAATTAGCTGTAGTGGCACATGCCTGTAATCCCATCTGTTTGGGAGGCTGAGGTGGGAGAATCGCTTGAACCCAGGAGGCAGAGGTTGCAGTGAGCTAGAGATTGCGCCACTGCAGGCCAGCCTGAGTGACAGAGCTGTCTCAGGAAAAAAAAAAAAAAAAAGAAGAAGAAGAAGGAGAGTACCCCTGATTCCTAAGAGTTTAAAACCACCATTCTTTCCCAGCTTTCTCAGTTCACAGAGAACAATGCCAGGGCTCAGAGAGAGGGAAAAGCCACATCCATTTCATTCAGCCTCCTCACCTTCATGAAAGATTCATTTGCTCATCATCAGTGTGCAGCACTGGGCAGAGTGCTGACTCTGGGCTTGAGCTTTCTAATGAATCAAAGTGACATCACCCCCTAGGTGATGCTGACCAGCATTTGACTGATGGAGAGAACAGGACGTCATCTACACTGGTTGCCGTTCCGTTGGGTGCATGTCTCTGCATTCCTGGCCTGGCCAGCAGGTGGCAGCAGCACCTCAGCCTTCAGTCAGCCTATCAGAGACCCGGGACACCAGGCCCTTCCAGTGACTCCCACTCCCACACCTCCCCAACAACATGCCGACTCCAATTACAGCGATCGTCACATTGATATTCGAAAGACATATGCATTCATTTACTGTAAGACCGTGGGTTACATCTTGTAATCACGGGCTTACAAGTCTGTCCCCTGCTCACTGGAGTTACTTGGGGGCCGAAGGGTGCCTGGTTCTGTTCCTGTATCCATGCCCAGGAGTATCTGATCCCCAAACAAAAACCCAGGGCTACTGAGGGGATTACTAAATAGGTGTGCCTAAAAGTCACAGAATTTTAGGCAGTGACCAAGGGGAGCTTGGATCAACATTGTCTCTTCAGGGGAGACATGGGGGCAGCTCCCAGGAGCAGGCAGGAAATGGACTGAGCCTGGGAGGGCCTCTGACTGGCCTCTTTCTCAGGTACCCAGGACCCTCCCATTGGCATTAATGACAAACAGCCGCTGGAGGGGCCTGAAGCTGGCTCCAGCCACATTTGGAAGCCAAGCCTCCTGAGTCAGGGGCGTCCGGGGGATTCTGCCAGCTGTCTTCTTGCAGGTCACTCTTTTCAGAATACAGTTCCAAAACCACTGGACTGGATAATCCGTAAGGCTCCTTCCAGCTCTGAAAGCTCTGAGCTATAGAACTGTATCATGAAAGATGAGATTCACAGATTCCTTTCTTAAGTAAGGGGGAAAGTGGTTGCAGCTGCCCCATCAATAGTCCCTTGATTAAAAGGACAAAGGAAGCCAGATGCCGTGGCTCACTCCTGTAATCCAAGCACTTTGGAGGCCAAGGTGGGCGGATCACCTGAGATCGGAGTTCAAGACCAGTCTGACCAACATGGTGAAACCCCATCTTTAAAAAATAAATAAATAAATAAAAGGACAAAGGAGGCCAGATGCAGTGGCTCACGCCTGTAATCCCAGCACTTTGGGAGGCCAAGGCGAGTGGATCACCTGAGGTCAGGAGTTCAAGGCCAGCTTGCCCAACATGGCGAAACCCCATCTCTACTAAAAACACAAAAATTAGCTGGGCATGGTGGTGGGTACCTGTAATCTCAGCTACCTGGGAGGCTGAAGCAGGAGAGTCACTTGAACTGGGAGGTGGAGGTTGCAGTGAGTCAAGATCATGCCACTGCACTCCAGCCTGGGGGACAGCGCAAGATCCTGTCTCAAATAAATAAATAAAAGGACAAAGGACACCTTGAAGCCAGGTGGAGGCAAGACGCTGGTCTGGGCTTGACCATACAAGATGATTTTAGGAGCTGGACTTCTGAACCTCATGGTTTTATGTTTACAGTTACCTTTGATTTCCAACAAGTGACGCTAGTTCTCCATTTGTGGAAACAATGCAAAGTTTCTTCTAAAGAAAGAGTTGAAACAGCAAGACAGTTAGAAAAGCAGACAGTGCCGCAGGGGCTTTGAGGGCACAGCAGGCATCATGAATGTGGCTCTGAAGGCCTGATGTTCAGGAAGTTCTAGCCCAGGCCTGAGAGATAGTTCATCTGAGACTTTCCAAATAGTTGGGGTGGGTGTGTGATGAGCCAGGGCTGGGAAAGAAACAATTCCCTCTTTGCTTTTGGGGGTAACTGGTACGCACCTTGAACCTGGTGGGGCAGTAAAGGGCAGGGATTTCGGAGTGCACTTCTGCTTGTTTAGGGGTTTGGAGAACAGGCACCTGAGCCTCAGACAGGTCAATCTGGCCTCCAGGGACATGTCTGGCCTCCTCTGTGTGTCCTCTCCTCCAGAAACCTTCTTCCCATCTCACAGCCCACACTGCCGCCCTCCAGGGTGAGGGGCTGAGCCAGGAAGAGCCTTACCCAAGGCGGAGTAGAAGCAGCACTCAGGCATCCTGGTGAGGTCACACTGGTGCAGGAACTTGCAGGGGTCACCCTTCTTGTACAGCCCCCCGGAGCCAGTGCTTACACATCAGCGTCTTCTCCCCTCGGTCATGCTGGAAGGGGCGGAATTTCCCTGGAGACGCCAAAGCACCGGGCTGGGAGGCCCCTCATCCACAGCCCGGCCTGGCTCAGCCCTCCAGGGGATTCCCCAGGAGGGTACTGGACCCAGTCCCCAGTGGCTCTCCCCTTATCCCTTCACCTGGACCCTGTAGGGGCTAGGACCGGGGGCCAAGGCAGCATGAAGGGCAAGCTCTTCTTTTTGAGACAGTCTCGCTCTGTTGCACAGGCTGGAGTGCAGTGGCACGACCTGGGCTCACTGCAACGTCCACCTCCTAGGTTCAAGTGATTCTCCTCCCTCAGCCTCCCAACTAGCTGGTATTACAGGCATGTACCACTACACCCAGCTAATTTTTGTATTTTTAATAAAGATGGGGTTTCACCATGTTGGCCAGGCTGGTCTCAAACTCCTGACCTCAGGTGATCCAGCCACCTCGGCTTTCCAAAGTGCTGGGATTACAGGCGTGAGCCACCACACCTGGCCAGACCAAGCTCTTCTTAATGCACAGCTGTTCCCACTACCACAGCTTTGCCCATCCTTCCCTTCTGCCTGGTGTGCCACGCCCTTCTCCTGGGGAAGCACCTGGGCTCGGAACAGCTGCCTCCTTTTCATTCCCACACAGCCTAAGACCCCCTCTCATCCTGCCAGGGAGCAGGGCTGGGCTTTCCAGCTCAGAATCCCCACACCCAGCCCAGCCCAGCCCCTGGCACATAGTAAGTGCTCATTAAGAGCCTGCTGAATTCCCATCTTTAAAAACACCAAATGTTACGCTTCCTGATTCCAGAGACCTAACAGGGTGACAGAAGAGCCAACTTTGTAACGATTTACAAGGAATCTTCCATGGAAATGTTACATTTAACTGATTTATCATCTTCACTCATGCCTGCATTGCTATTAGCAGGAAGGACTCCCAGTTCCTAAGTTTCTTGCTTTTTTTGAGACAGTATCTTACTTTGTTGGCCAGGCTGGAGTACAGTGGCACAGCCACGGCGCACTGTAGCCTCGACCTCCTGGACTCAAGCAGTTCTCCATCTCAGCCTCCCCAGTAGCTGGGACTGCAGGCATGCACCACCACACTGAGCTAATTTTTGTATTTGCTGAAGATACGGGGTTCTGCCACATTGCCCAGACTGGCAGTTCCTGGGTTTCTTTTTTTTTTCTTTTTTTTTTGAGATGGAGTTTCGCTCTTGTTACCTAGGCTGGAGTGCAATGGCACGATCTCAGCTCACCACAACCTCCACCTCCTGGGTTCAGGCAATTCTCCTGCCTCAGCCTCCTGAGTAGCTGGGATTACAGGCACACGCCACCATGCCCAGCTAATTTTTTGTAGTTTTAGTAGAGATGGGGTTTTACCATGTTGACCAGGATGGTCTCGATCTCTTGACCTCGTGATCCACCCGCCTCCGCCTCCCAAAGTGCTGGGATTACAGGCGTGAGCCACCGCGCCCGGCAGTTCCTGAGTTTCTAAGCAGGACCAGCCTCATGCCTGGCCAGTTCTCTGACATACTTTGGGGGATAGGAAAAAAATGGACATACTTTCCTTTTTTTTTTTAACTATTATATTTTTATATTTTGTAGAGACAGGATCTCACTATGCTGCCCAGGCTGGTCTTGAGCCATCCTCCGGCCTCTGCCTCACGAAGGTGCTGGGATTACAGGTGTGAGCCAACTCGCCCCGCCAAGGTGCTCTTTTGAAACAGCCCCACCTTCCCCTGGCCAGGGACTTGCTGGGTTCCAACCCCCCACCAGAACACCTTGCTTTCTTCGCAAGAGGGTGTCACTAGGAAACACTGCTCTAGAGACTGGATAGGCTGAGCTGAGGAGACGTCCCTCAGCCCACATTTGAGCCTGCGGGCTCCTGGGTGCGTGCACAGAGAGCTTCCAGGCTTCCAGGCACAGAATTATTTGGATCGCAAAGCATGTCCTAAACTCTCACACCAGCGAGATTTCTTAACCTAAATGTATAGACAAGCAGCAGGAGGACTAGGAAACCCTAAAATTGGAAGGCAGGTTTTTTGGCAATTGTGTATTTCTGTGGGAAGAGCCTCTACGAGGTCCCTGAGCTGAAAACCCAAGGCCGAATGTGGTGACTCACGCCTGTAATCCCAGTGCTTTGGGAGGCCCATGCGGGTGAATCACGAGGTCAGAAGTTCGAGACCAGCCTGGCTAACATGGTGAAACCCCATCTCTACTAAAAATACAGCCAGGCATGGTGGTGGGCACCTGTAATCCCGGCAACAGCTAAGGAGGCTGAGGCAAGAGAATCGCTTGAACCCAGGAGGCGGAGGTTGCAGTGAACCGAGATTGTGCCACTGCACTCCAGCCCGGGCAACAGTGCAACACTCTGCCTCTAAATCAATCAATAAATAGAAAAGTTGAAAACCCTTGTATATGAGTCAGGCCTTTCAGAATAGCTGCGTCTAGGAAGAGGGTATTGACCCAAAAGCAGGGCAGGAGAGAAGCGGAGGATGCTTTTTGGTAGCATTTCAAAGACAGTGGCCAGCACCACCTCAGGGCATATGGAATGGATGGGAAAACTGACCAGCTTCCAAACCGAATCAGAGCATAGGCCCCGGGGAGAAGGGTGCCTCCCCTCTAGCTGGGAGCAAAAGAAGAAAAACATCAAGAGGCTGGGGCTCCTGGGAATTCTCAGGCCAGAGCTCAGACGCACCCCGACCCCAGCAAAGAAGAAGGAAAGAAACGCGCCTGCCTAGGCAGCCTGGTGACCCTGATGCCAGCTTCGAAGACAGCTGCAGAGGCTGGAAATCTTGGGGGAGGGGCAGGCTGCTAGGTGGACCCACACACTTGTCCTTTGTCTACCTGTAAGTCTAAAATTCTGCTCCACAGCTGGGTGTGGTGGCTCACGCCTGTAATCCCAGCTCTTTGGGAGGCCCAGGCAGGTGGATCACCTGAGGTCAGGAGTTTGAGACCAGCCTGGCCAACATGGCGAAACCCCATCTCTACTAAAAATACAGTAATTACTCGGGTGTGGTGGCAGGTGCCTGTAATTCCAGCTACTCGGGAGGCTGAGGCAGGAGAATTGCTTGAACCTGGGAGGCGGAGGTTGCAGTGAGCCGAGATGGCACCACTGCACTCCAGCCTGGGTGACAGAGCGAGACTCCGTCTAAAAATAAATAAACAAAATTCCGCTCCATCCCAAATTTCCCTTCCCAATTTCCCCTCCCTAGGTGCAAATTTCACACCTTATCCCAGGCCAGACAAACCCTGCACTCACCTGGCCCGGGGCCCAGGCCTGCCTGTTAACTCACCTTTCTCCAGAGCCCTTAATGGAAGTCGCACACAGCTGAGCCCGACTCTGGAAGCAGAAGAGGGAACCAAGAAAGTAGCTTTCCCAGAGGTGGCTGCTGTGGGGGAGCCGCCACCTCCTATCAGCATGTCCCATCTGGACCTCCTCCAGGCTCTGGCCTGTGGGCCCCCAAATCTGGGCCCTGTGGACATTCACCTGCAGAGCCAGCCAGCAGACCTCAACCCTTAAACCCCCCAACTCTGAAACAGAGGAGCTAGAGGGGCCCAAGGCTGGCCCAGGAGCTCAGGGGGCCAGTGTGGCTTCTCTCAATTCACCGTCTCGCTGTGCCTCTTTCTCAGCCTGGAAAATGGGTTCCCCTGAAGCCACAGAAAAGAAAGACAGAGAAGGGGCTGTTGCATCAGGTAGCTGAGCAGAGAGGCCTGTAGAGAGGGTGGGGAGGGACAGTGGCCCCATCCTCACTCACTGTCCATGTCCTGGAAAGGCAGGAGCCCAGTTCCCTTCTGCGTCTCGACATCCTTCTCAAAGGCGACTGCTCCAGTCCGGCAATGACTTCCTGCATCTTCCATCTCCTGCTAGGGCTGCGGAAGCTTCCAGAGCCCAGGCAGGTGGGCCCTATATAGCTCATCAAAGGCCCTTAAGGGGCCAGCATCCAATGCCTCCCCTTTTACCCGGGGTGCCAGTGGCCAGGTGACGGCAGGCAACTCTCCAGCCCGGGCTGTACCGGAGTGGGACCCAGCTGCCTCACCACGCCCAGCCGGTGCAGGGGCAGACGCCCCAGGGCCCCTTGCCCCACACTGTGTACACAAGGCCCTCTCGGGTGGGGAGGGATTTGCAGAGCTTCACAAACTGCTTATCTGTGCACATTACCAAGCACAAACGTGGCATGCACGCAGACATTACCAAACGTGGGCTCATACTTTGTCCATGAAGACACAGCCACAGGTTAGCAAAGAGCTTCGCAAACCAACCGCAGCAAGGCTGCTATTCTGCCCGAGCTGGGGATGGTGGGGGTGTGCAGAGGGAGGGAGCCGTCCCATCTCCCCGTTTCTTCCCATCAGGGAATTGGTTTCCCTCTGGGACCCCTGACACCCCTTTTCTGGCCTGAGTGACAAGCCCCAGTGAGCTCTTCATGGGAGAGAAGGAAAAAGGATGAAGCGCTGAGGAATCGGAAACAGTTGGATGAATGGCGCTTTGTTTACCTCGAACGCAATCGCCAGCTTGGCTGGAGGGTGGCACCGACCCAAGGCAGAGCGGCCTCCCAGCCAGGATTCCACAGGGCCACCCCAGCGCCACCCCACCCCTGAGAAAGTGCTTTATAAATGAAGTCTCTATGCAAATGTTGTTTTATTATTATTACACCAGCCTGCAGGGCTGGGACATCTGAAAATGCTTTCAAAGTAGCACGTTAGGGCTCTAATTAGACCAGGCTCCTCCCTCCCCCTGCTCTGGCCCCAAACTGGCCTTGCCTCTAACTGGAGCTGCTGTTCTCAGTCATATTGGCCATCGAGGCCGCTAGAACCAGAACGCAAACGCTCTCCTTTCTGGGTGCCCGGACCCAGCAGGGAGCGGTGGGCAGCCCTGCAGGCTCACAGCTGGGCCAACATGAACCAGCCTGCCCTGCCGGCTTTTGTTACCTGTGGCTGTCGCTCCTCGATCTGTTCTTTTGAACTCCAGATCAGAAAAGAAAATAGCTGGAGAGATAGACACCTGGAGCCGAGGCGGGACTGGGAGGGGCAGGGATGAGAGCCAAGAGTTTCCAGAAGCTTCCAGGGCCTCTGACTGCATCCTGGGAGAGGCAGAGGGACCCAGCTCCAGGCTGCCAGAGGGTGGGGCCGAGGGGTCCCTGGGGCAGAACCCCTGGCTTTTCTTGGCCTTCCTTGTGTGTGTTGATTAGTAGTCCCAAGAATGCATTCATCTGTCAACACAGGCTCATTAGAGGCTCACACTAGCCTGGCAGGGCAGGCAGGACTGATGAGGAAATCCAGCCCCAGAGAGGCCAAGGGCACGTGGTTTGGGAGGTGATATGGATGGGGTTCAAATCTGGGTCTCTTGATGATTTCCTTCCCTAAACATGCCTGAGCGTCTCTGCACTAGGGCCCCGTCCCTACCCTCAGAAACGGCCCCCGTCAAGGAGGGGACATTAGCCATTCACACGATAATGAGATGGAGGGATGAGAGGCCCAGCAGGGCAGGAAGGGGTGGCAGGGAGAGCTCTCAATGGAGACTCATGATGATGCGGAGAGAATGTTCTGGAAGAAGGCCAGCAGTATGAAGGCTGGGGTGTGGAGCAACGTGCAGGCTGAGGAGGCGCTCAAGGATTGGTTTGGCAGAAGTAGGGGTACAGAGGGGGAATGGGGACAGGGAGGCTGGAGAGCTGGGGCACGACCCAACTCTGGGAGGCCTGTTGGAATGAGCTTTGTTGGGGAGTGATCATGAAGGCAGCAAAGCCACCGCAGGGCTCTGAGAACAGGACATGGCTCTCTGAGAGATGGTCAGTGGAAGACTGTGCAAGAGGATGACTTTTTTTTTTTTTTTTTGAGAGGGAGTCTAGCTCGTGTCATCCAGGCTGGAGTGCAGTGGCGCAGTCTCGGCTCACTGCAACCTCCGCCTCCTAGGTTCAAGCGATTCTCCTGCCTCAGCCTCCCGAGTAGCTGAAGTTACAGGTGCCCGCCACCACACCTGGCTAATTTTTGGTATTTTTAGTAAAGACAGGGTTTCGCCATATTGGCCAGGCTTGTCTTGAACTCCTGACCTCAGGTGATCTGCCCACCTCAGTCTCCCAAAGTGCAGGGATTACAGGTATGAGCCACTGTGCCCGGCCTGGGGATGACTCTTTAAAATCATGAGAGCTCTGGGGATAGGGCCCAAAGAGCTATCTATTACTCTGGTGGCCTGCAAGAGTTAATTGATGAGGGATGAACATGAAGGAGACTCCGGGCTAAGACTCCTCCCTCCATCACCCCAGCTTCTCTCCTCCTCCATCAGCTTCCCATTGGGATGGGAAGGCCCCAGGTGCCTGACCAGCAGAGGTATGTGGTGGGTGTCATGTGGATGAGATCCCTTCTCCCAGCGGGTCATTAGTTTGGTGCACAAACAACGGGGCTTGCATTCATAGTTTTTGCTTATTCAAAATACCTTCTTCAGTGAATTGAACTGGTTACCCAAAAAGTCTAGGTCCAGGCCAGATGCAGTGGCTCAGGCCTGTAGTCCCAGCATTTTGAGATGCCAACGTGGGAGGATCACTTGAGTCCAGAACTGCGGGACCAGCCTGGCAACAAAGCAGGACTCCCATCTCTACAAAAAATTTATAAATTATTAGGTGGGCATGGTGGTGCATGTCTGTAGCTCCAGCTACTCAAGTCGAGGCTGCGGTGAGCCATGAGTGCCCCACTGCACGCCAGCCTGGGTGACAGAGTAAGACCCTATCCCAACAGTAAGAAAGAAATGCAGTTTTGGAAGACCTCACCCCTTTTGCAGATGAGCAAACAGACAGCCAGAGAAGCTGAGTGACGGTTCAGCTTTGCTGAGGCCGGGGGAGCTGCCCCACCTCATGGCTCTTGAAGTGAACTGGTGTCCACATTGTACAACAATCAAAAGCAGTGCCCCAGCCCTGGGTTGGCCCCTCTCAAACCTCACAATCCCCTCTTCTGTGCCCTGGAGCTTATCCCCAGCACTTGTGTTTTCGTTTATTAATTGATCCCTGGTGCTAAGTGGACACTCAAATCGCTGCACAAACAGAAGCGTGAATTTTTAATCACCATCATTATGAGGCCCTCATTTAGCTCCCACTGCAAATTTCCTGAACTGTCATCATCCAGCTCCTTCCCCTTTATTAACGCTCTGCTCTGAAAAGCGGGGGTGGAGGTGGGGGGAGCTTTGGAATTCTCTGGCTGCAGGGCCTGGCAAGGTCATCACGCCCGTGCCCCTGGCCTGGGATCAATGGCAGCCAGTGCTTTGCTGGGCAGATCGTGGCCATGCCCACCTTTCTTTTATCTAGAGTACCTGCCTTCCTCCCCACTGTGCACACTGCCTTTATGGCGGTGACGGTGCAGACAGGGGCATCAGGCAAGCCAGAGTTCAAATCTAGGCTTTGTCAGTTACCAGTCTGTATCCTGGGCCAGGCATTTGATCGCCTCTCTCAACCCCAGATTCTGCATTGGTAAAATGGGACCAATGCATACTCTGTCCCTGGAGGACTGAGGATCAGTGAGAAGTACACGTGGGTGCCTGACACAGGGGTCTTTTGTTGCCGTTGTTGTTTTATTTTTGAGATGGAGTCTCACTCTGTTGCCCTGGCTGAAGTGCAGTGGGGAAACCTCGGCTCACTGCAACCTCTATCTCCTGGGTTCAAGCAATTCTCCTGTCTCAGCCTCCCGAGTAGCTGGGATTACAGGCACCTGCCACCACGCCTGGCCACTTTCTGTATTTTTAGTAGAAACAAGGTTTCACCATGTTGGCCAGGCTGGTCTCGAACTCCTGACCTCAGTTGATCTGCCCACCTCAGCCCACCAAAGTGCTGGGATTAAAGGCGTGAGCCACTGCACTTGGACCTATCCCTTCTTAAAATTGGTTATTCCTATGGGCCCCTGGTAAAAGATGCCGTGGGGGAAGGGGTCCCATGACGGTCAGGTGCGGCTGGGGGCCACTGTAAGATCTGGCAGTGATGGCCTGGTAGCCAAGTAGCCACGGGGTTGGGAGGGGCTGGAGGTCAGGAGGGGTGCCCCTCACCCGCAGCTGCTGCTGCTCAGTCCCAGAGACAATGAGCCAGTGTGCCCTGCTCTCTCCACTGCCCTTTGTGCCCCAAGGATGCCACTTGGAGGGGACAGCTGTTGGCCTCACAGTAGCCACTTGAAGTGCAGGGCAGGGAGAGCCCAGCAGCCAGGATGGTCCTGCTCTGTCACTGTGCAGGAACTCAGCCTCTAGGAGTCCATCCGTTCTAGCACCTGCACCCAAGGAAAGGCATCTACTTCCCCTTGGGGCTTGGAAGTAGCCACAGGACTAATAAACCGCCCACACTCCTCATTCGAGGCTCCTCTCATTCTCACGACAAACTTCTGAGCTGCCCGTCTTATAGGTAAGGAAACCAAGGCCCAGAAGTGAAACCACTGCCTGAGCTTATATAATAGCCAGTAGATGTGGGAAAGGGGGCCTAGAATCCAACCTTTGCACCAGTTACTTGGACTTAATTGGTTTAGCTTCATTGTTTACATTGTATTCTAATTCCAACAAAACCTTGAAAAGAGCTATTATTAGTTCTCTTCTGCAACTGAAAAAAGCTGAGACTAAGACAGTGTGGCGATTCCTCAAGGACCTAGAAATAGAAATTCTGTTTGACCCAGCAATCCCATTACTGGGTATATATCCAAAGGATTACAAATCGTTCTACTATAAGGACACGTGCACACGAATGTTCACTGCAGCACTGTTTACAATAGCAAAGACCTGGAACCAACCCAAATGCCCATCGACGACAGACTGGATAGGGAAAATGTGGCACATATACACCATGGAATATTATGCAGCCATCAAAAACGATGAGTTTGGGTCCTTTGTAGGGACATGGATGAACCTGGAAACCATCATTCTCAGCAAACTGATAGAAGAGCAGAAGATCAAACACCGCATGTTCTCACTCATAGGCGGGTGTTGAACAATGAGAACACATGGACACAGAGAGGGGAGCACTACACACTGGGGTCAGTTGGGGGGAAATAGGGGAGGGATGGTGGGGGGTGGGGAGCTGGGGAGAGATAGCAAGGGGAGAAATGCCAGATGCAGGTGATGGGGAGGAAGGCAGCAAATCACACTGCCACCTGTGTACCTATGCAACAATTTTGCATGTTCTTCACATGTACCCCAAAACCTAAAATGCAATAAAATAAATAAATGGGGGGAAAAAAAAAAGCTGAGACTAAAGGCTTAGCTGTGCTTCCTAAAGACCACAAGCTTGGGCGTGCATGGCCCCAAAGCCAGCTCCTTCCAGCCTACCAAGCTCAGTGTGGGAGACGGCTCCTCCTCCCCAGGGCTGGGAAGACCACCCAGACCCCCGAGACCCAAGATAGCTACTGGGCCTGTGCTCGTCCCTGTGAGTAGGTAGAATGCAGATTCTAGTTTTGGTCTAAACATCAAGGAAATAGGACATTTTGGGCTTAAGGAGTCAGCTCTGGTCCAGAGCGGTGTGCGGATAGCAGTCCCTGTCCACTCTTGCCACCACGTGTCTTCACTTGGTCTTCAGGTCATCCTCTGCCCTGCCTGTGGTTCTGTGCCCAGAGCCACTCCAGCCTGAGCAGAGGCTGCCCAAAGCCTTCCTGGGCTTAGAGGGAAATTCCACAGGCTTCAGCCCCTGCCCGCTCCCACCCCGTGCCCTGTGGGAAAGGAACTTATCACCCTCAGCCACAGGCCTGGCCTGTCAGCAAAACTGAGTTGGCAGAGGTAGCAGGTGGGGCAGCTCGGGTCACACTCTGGTCTTCTCCTACTTAACCACAGTCCTCCGGCTTCCCACATCTGGCTCTTACCCTCCCACCTCTGGGGAGCTATTTACTCACTCATTCATTTGCTCACTCACTTATTTGCTCACTATTTGCTCACTTATTCACTCACTCGTTCCCTTACTCATTCACTCACTCACTCATTCACTCATTCTTTCACTCATTCTCTCATTCACTCATCCACTCACTCATTCACGCATTCATTCACTCACTGATTCACTTATTCACTCACTTATTCACTCACTCATTCACTCACTCGTTCCCTTACTCATTCACTCACTCACTTACTCATTTATTCACTCAGTCATTCACTCATTCAGTCACTCACTCCTTCACTCACTCTCTCATTCACTCATTCATTCATTCTTTCATTCACTCATTTGCTCACTCACTCATTCACTCACTCAAAAAAGTATTTTTTAACTGCTGTTGTCTCTGGAAGACACAGAACAAAAAAGACATAGCCACTAGCCTAGGAGATTGCAGTCAGTAGAATAATGTGCTCCCATCCAAAGATGCCCACGTCCTAATTTCCAGAACCTGTGGATATGTTACCTTACAAGGTAAAAGGGACCTTGCTGAAGCTATTAAGTTAAGAATTTTATCTGGATTATCTGTGGCCCAATAGCACCACAAGAATCCTTATGAGAAGGAGGCAGGAGGGTCAGAGGAAGGGAGAGACACAGAGGAAGAGAGGAAAGCGGAGAGAGATGTGAAGATGCTGCATTGCTGGCTTTGAAGCTGGAGGAAGGGGCCATGAGCCACCTGAGTAGCTGGGATGACAGGCATGTACCATCACACCTGCCTAATTTTTGTATTTTTTTTTTTTAGTAGAGACAGGATCTTTCCACGTTGGCCAGGCTTGTCTCGAACTCCTGACCTCAGGTGATCCACCCACCTCGGCCTCCCAAAGTGCTGGGATTACAGGCGTGAGCCACCACACCCAGCTATTTATTTATTTTTTGAGACGGAGTCTCATTCTGTCACCAGGCCGAAATGCAGCTGTGCCATCTCGGCTCACCGCAACTTCCGCCTCCTGGGTT